TATCTTGGAGTATACCCACACCGTGTGGAAGGTGGATAATGGCTCCCAAAGATATGCTTACATCCAAATCCTCAAACCTGTACATGCTACCTTATTGGAACAAGAGGCCCTGCAGATACCATCAAATTAAGGATTTTGAGAAGAGGTTATTTGGATTACCCAGGTAGGCCCTAAATGCCATCACAATGTCCTTATAAGAGAGGCAGGGGGAGGTTAGAGACACACACAGGAGAAGGCAATGTGAAGATGGAGGCAGAGACCGGAGAGATGTGGCCTCAAGCCAAGGAATGCCAGCAACCACCAGATGCTGGAAGAGAATGGATTTCTCCTAGATCCTCTAAAGGGAGTGTGATTGTGCTCACACCTTGATTTTGGACTACTGGCCTCCAGAACTGTGACAGAATAAATTTCTATTGTTTTAAACCATCAAATTTGTGTAATTTGTTACAACTGCCCTTGGAAACTACACATAGAAACCATTTAACTAAGACATTGACTGATTTTTTTTTAAGAGAATAACAGAAATATATCAAAAGCATATTATGAGACTCAGTTAATAAGAAATGATTATTTTCCCAACACATTTCTTGCGTAAAGTACTAAAATGCCATTTTTAAGAAAAATGAGAGCCAGAAACAAAAGTTTATATTATTGAAAAGATATGTGGAGAACTATCATGGCCTGGGTGCAGTTGAATTTGCATAGAAGTTTGCCAACACTGGCTCTGAAATGGACTTTATAGTCGTTTGCACAGATCTACAAACATAGACCTGGTACTAATTAGAGGATGGTGTTTCTAAAACTATCCTATCATCTTCTTAGATTAGTACCCAATTCCCCACAGAGAAATATACAGGTGGATAAAACTTATGACGCCTCTCAAGAAAAAAATAACTGCTGACCTACAGCACAAGATAAGCAGAAGAGAACGTTAGTACCTTGCTCCTTCCCATGAAAAATGCTGTATTCTCGGGCACTGCACAGCGATCTGCCTCCTTCTCTCACCTGTCTTTGTAAAAGCAATCATTTGTACTCCAGCCCTTTCTCCCGCACCCCCAGTCCACTAAGTCCTGGTTTCCTGCTTTTCTTTCTCCATACTTAATCTTTATGAAAATAATTTTACTCACACTCATGGTTTTAGTTGCCTCCTATATGCAATGACCACAGCTGTTCAAATCCCACTATCTACAGAAGATACTCATTAAAATATTTCACTTAACAAATTTTGTTACCAAGAAGTCCTTTTACATATGCACGAAAAAGCAGGATTTCTTGCCAGCTTCTAGATTTTATCATCATTAATGCTCCATCCCTCAGGTTCTGCTAATAGAATCACGTATTTCATTCTTTTCCTTCAGCCCCCACATTTACTCCATTAATCAATTCTCCAGTCATTCCTTTGCAAAATTTCTTGGGCTCCCTTCCTTACAACAGCTACAACCCTGAATCATTTCATGCTTACCTCACCAAAGCAGTCTACAAGCTGGCTGAGTTTACTCTAGCTCTATTATTACCCCTTCCTGAGCTATAAACAACTGTCAAATATCACTCCCATTTAGAACAGCAGAGTGGCTCCTTGGTAACTACCCACACCATACAGTATCCATCTAATTGTACTCCATTTGCAGATACTAATTTTCTCTGTGAGCCATACAGTTTGCCATCATTGGTTGACTGGCTCAGGGAATCTAATTAATTAATAACACTGACCTGTAAAACTTAGAAATACAAATCGAATAGTCCATATGTTTTAAAGCAAAATACAATTTGTACTATTACAGTCAGATACAAATTATTATTGTTCATTTGATAGCTTTTATTTGACTGATCTTTCCCACCATTGGCAAGGACTGGGTTTATTATTTGCTCTTTCCTGCCCCTGCCCCAAGCACAGTGCTTTGCACATTAAAAAATCTGACAGTAGTAGTTTCCTGTTTTAAAATTAGTGCTTACAGGGGACATAAACTACCACACTATAAAGAGAAATCTGAATGGGTAATAATGGCAGAAGACAAAAACATTAAAGGCTTTTAATCTCTGTCTATTTAAAGCTGCTATAACCTTTGGACTTAGGTGAATACATTATTTACATAAAAAGCCTGTAAGATCTACCTGTGTTTTCAGAAATGAATGTACACTTTGACCCAAATGCAGATTCTGGATAATTATCTCATTTTATAAAGAAAATCAGGTTATACTAGGTTCATCATAAAACAAAACAGTAAAAATTCTCTCCACACCCTTCTAGACAAATCAGAATAAAATGACTGTCTATAAATGGTGACAAAAATCTTCAAACATATGAAAAATGATACCACGCTTTTCTAAAATCATTAAATTGTCCCAAATGGAAAGCTCTGACAAAGTTTAACAGACTCTGGTTACCACTAGAACTTTGTTCTTTTGCCAACCATCTGTCTTCCACATTAGAATGCAAGCTCCACGCAGGCAGCACATCCCTGCTATTCCTCAGCATCATGACAGTGCCTGGAACATGGCAGACATGCAATACATTTATTGAATGATGAATGAATAAATTTGATGATGCTTAGAAACAAAAATAAGGTAAATATCCTTAATTATGGATACAATCTATAATTCCTATGGCCAGTTACCTATACGCCTCTAACAAAGATGTTTTAAGGGAGCAACTTGAAAATATTTGCAATATAGAGAATATTTTGAAAAGACCGGTACATTTTTCTCTCAATAGTCATTTAAGGGAACATACAGTTTAGTTCTATTCTCAATCTACTACAATTCTCTCATACATTCCTAAAATACCAGATGTATAAATACACTGTAACAAATTATAAAACAGATTTATTTCAATTTAAGTCCTTTAAATCACAATTCGTTAAGGCTCTAAGAGACAAGCCTGCAAACATCTTAAAATTTCTAAGTTAAGGTAGTAGGAATATTAATTAAAAAATACTACTTTTCACATTTCTAAGATTTAAAAGAAAGGAGACAAAATAGCAGTTGGAAATTAAATTCAGTGAAGACAGTTTAAAGCAAGCTAAATGAAAAATATTGCAGTGATCAGTTTTGATTGTTTGCTGCCCCACATCTAAAGAGATAAAAAAACAAAGCACAACTTGATTTCATAAATGGAGGTTTTAGAACTTTCTATTCATAATGTCCACATGTGATAGATTATATATTTACATTTAAGAAAAAAGTACTATAACGAAAGTCCAAACAGGATTGTCTTTTTTTTAAGAAAAATGTTAAGTATCACTCTGGTTTTTTCGTAAAAATTCAAGTTTCTCCAAGTGTCCTTGGGGACATGAAAATGAACTCATGATTTTTATGACTGTTTTAGTATTTTTCCATCTAAGCACCAGAGAAGTCCACCTACATATGAATTGCATTCCCAAGCGGCAGTTACTGTTTAGTATGAGAAAATGGTGCTTATTGCCAAACCAGTCCTATTTCTATTGGCATAAAAAAAAATACTGACCTAGAGACTGGCACTGGCATTCACTTCACTCTCTTTTAACTTCTATGAAGTAGGCGCTATTATCAATTCCATTTTACAGACAAGGAAACCAAGGCACCTAATCAAGGTCACATGTTACGAAGCAGAAGAGCTGGGATGAGAAACTCATGAAGTCTGGTTCCAGAGCCCACATTCTTTCTCCATGTATTAGAACTGTCTAGTTTGTACCACTAAAGCTCATCTAAAACTAATATGTTGCTTCTCACCAGATCAGTGGTTTCTAACTAGAGTGATTTTGCCCTTCAAACTCACCCCCTAACTGGGGGACATCTGACAATGTAGGCATTTCTGTATGTCACAACTTGGGGTGGGGGTGTTACTGGCAACTTAGTGGGTAGAGGCCAGAAATGATGCTAACTATTCTACAATGCACAGGACTGCCACATACCCTCCTCCCCCTCAAAAGATTGTAAATGCCAGGAACACAAGATCCTAGTTGGTCATGGTTACTACTGTATCTTTAGCACTAGAAAAATGTTTGACAGAGTAAGTACTTACATATCTGCTGAATGAATATTTATGTTAACAGCCCAGAACTGTGAGTGGTATATATCGTAGACAACAAACATTAAAGATAACTGAATTAGTAGTGGTAGCCTCAAAAAGAGTCAAATGGACATATGTTATTGTTGTTAGGTGCTGTCAAGTTGATTTTGACTCACAGTGACCCCGTGTGACAGACTGGAACTGTCCCCATAGGATCTTCTAGGCTGTGATCCTTTACAGAAGCAGACTGCCAGGTCCTTCTCTGGCCGAGCTGCTGGGTGGGTTCAAACCACCACCCTTTTGGTTAGCAGATGAGCACTTAACCGTGGTGCCACCAGGGCTCCTTAAAAGGACCAAATCAAAAACCAAACCCATTGCCATCAAGTCAATTCTGACTCATAGCGACCCTACAGGACAGAGTAGAACTGACCCATAGAGTTTCAAAGGAGCACCTGGTGGATTCTAACTGCCAACCTTTGGGTTAGTAGCTGTAGCTCTTAACCACTATACCACCAGGGTTTCCCCTTAAATGGGCATACAGGACATAATAAATTGAAGTGTTATTTTAGTACTTCACAACTTTACTCCTTTGGGTTTAATTTTCTCCCAAATGACTATAAATAAAACCAGTTCTGGCAAAACAATTCTCTTATTTGAGTGGGCTTCTGGTAAAACATATCTTTTTCTTAAGGTCTTTAAATGTACCGAGTTTAAATACATGTGAGTACAATATGCAAGCTAAATACATGTGAGTTAAATACGTAAGGAATAAGACTTCTTTCCTCTTAAAATGAACACCTTTAAATGTCCAACTCAAATATCATGTATTTAGGGGATTAGCAGACACTCCTAAATTAGATGGTATCACTAATTAGCTGATATGCTCCAGTGGCTGGCAAATACTTTGATAAGTTTAAGAGCTTGTTTACAAATTGCACAAAAGAACTGAATTACAGCACACGTAAGACAACGACAAATCCATTATCTAAAAAGAAAGTAGTACCGAGTCCACTTCGTTCAAAGGTTTTTATAACCATAACATTCTAAGTATAACTTCATCCTACATTAAAAAAAACGCATGAGTCTAACATCTAAGTATTTTCAATCCTTCCTCCTTCACCCCAAGAGTTATTGATTATTATCCAGAAGGCATTTGCTTATAAGTAATATTGCTTGATTTACAAAATTCTTTTCCAAGGAAAAGTTCAAAAGGTGGTTATGTGGATTTTCAAACAATACTAGAAAAAAATCTGACATCTTTCACTCATCATTCCTGTAATTAATGAATGAGTTTGGCTTGCCCAAATGTTAAATTATGAGACCACACTGTGTAAAATGCACCTATTACGTTTAAAAAGAAGTTAAACCCATATTTATTTACTAGCATTGTTAAACATTACACAAAACATTCAAGTGGCAAGTAATTATAATGCAAGCCCTTGCATGGCAATCCAAATTTATTGAACTACTGATGCTAAGTTATACAAAATTGCACCACTTTAATTAAGGCTTTTAGTTTACATTTGGCCACCTCAAAGTAGTTGTAACATTAGGTTGGTCAATTTAAATACTGTGGCTCCCTGTTGGATAGACACACAATCTTTACACCCAAACGTTAATGCGTACAAAGCAACAAGGCATTGTTAAATAAAACAGCAATAGTTACTGCAACTTAGGCCTTGTGACCAATTACACATGATTAAAATTACTTCCCACATTCACATCCACAGTACTCGTCCACCATTTAACATCTCAACCAAAACGTTACACATGTGAAACAATCACTAACAGGCAAAAATACTAAACCTGTATATTTGGTATGCAAATACACTTATGCATGAGCAAGCAAGGGATTCACAGTGAGAATCTACAGCTGCAGAAGCCTGAAAATGATTTACAAAAATTGTTAAATCATTAAAAAATTGTTTGAAAATATACACTTCTTGTTGTAGACCCCCACTGTACACACAACTATAAACATTGTTCCCTATGTAAACAAAAAAGGAAACATAATAAGAGATTTGAAAAGTCTGGACATTTCCTTCCCAACAGATATTAAAGGCAACGTCTTTAATCTAAGACATTATACTGAAAGGACTATCATATTTTAAAGACAAGATCACTGTCTCCACAGGTTTTTCAAAAATTAAAAAAACTATATAGCTGTGTTAATCAAAGCGCTTATTTTGTATAATACAATGATAATGACCTTGAATTTCTTAAAAAAAAAAAATTACAATAAGCTACAAGTATCAAAGAAGCAAAGTTATCTGGAGTAGTCTATATAGGAGCTCTTTGGACTTTCGTTTATTATGCTAAAATAGTGGTGCTTTTAGGATTTACATTACTGTACTCTCCAATAGAAAGTATGGGGCGTGTTAAAGTATACAGTACACCATTTTCATACATGTACAACATTGGTGGATGAAGAATGTCTCTTAGCAGTAATACTGGATGTAGCCTCTGGTTTTACCAGTTGCATACTCTAGGGCTATTATATAAGTAAAAATCTCTCTTGTGATACTGGAAAGTGATTAGGATGTGCAAACTGATGTAGTAGCTTTCATCCGCCTCTTAAAGGGTACCACCACAGGAAAGTCCATTTAAGATGTTGTAGGTTTAACAAAGTTGGAATGCTGGCACTGTTGAATTGGGCAACAGTTTTTCAGACCTGTCAAAAGGAAAAAAAATAAATTAACTGAAAACATGGGTTGAAAATAGCACATTAAAGATCCAAAGGAACACATTTAGGAACAGTCTTGAAGCATTAGAAATGAATACAGACTCTTGTCCTAGTCATTACACTAATGACAATGCACCACATTTCACAGCAAAACACAGCATGAGCAGCCATTTTCATCTTCGCATTCCAAAAAGATGAGAGTCTTTTCTGGTGCCAGGTTGAAAGATTTTGTTTTGTTTTACAGTCAAATGAAAATTTTAGATACAAAAAAAGAAAAGTACCTTTGTGCAAATATCTATTACCTTCCACAGGTTAAAAGAGAAAAAAAAATCCTATTAAAATTTAGTTAACCTTATCAGAATAGGATTAAAAGAGATATTATCAATACTAACAAAATGGATGAACCTTTAAAAGTGTTTACAATCCTAGAATTATACTGTTATTATAGAATGGAATCTAAACCAGGGTTTCCAGTATCAGAAAATCAAGACCTTTCTTCTTTACTCTTTTAGTAAGACTAAGAAGCTAGTTCTGAGACCTACAAAAAATAGGATTTATTTATTTCAGGATGGCTCTTTAGAGCTTTACAACTGACAGTTATGTACTGTCTAATTCTAGATTATACTGATTCTATCAACTTTAAGATGGATGTCAGAAAAAGCTGGTATTACACTAAAATCACATATAATTAAACTTTTAAAAAACATTAGTGAGGTAAAAGTAAAATCAGAACTCACTGCCTGCTAAATATTTATTTTTAATGATTTTCGGCATATATGCCTAGACTAAGAAAAAATACTTTCTTTTTATTGTATTTTGTATGGAGTTCAGGCTTATTGCAAGCTCCAGAAACAATTGTTAATATAGATGTGGCTGCTGAAATAATTTGCACAAATATGTTGAACTTTAGGCCCTCATTTAGGGCCTGAAATCTCAACAAGCTTGGTAATCTAGTTTTCTAAATCCTAGCAGACTGGATGTAGCAAACTGGAAAGGACAGATGGGAGTGTGTGAGCTCAGGCATATGTGTGTTGTTGAGAATGGGCACGTGGATTGGAATAAGAGGATGTACTGCTAAACAGAAAGCCTAAAATGGGACAGAAACTCTAAAAAGATACAGAATCAGAGTGCTATGGTAGTAAAGGATATTTAACATAGGGCAAAGCAGGGCCACAAACTTCAAAAAGTTCTCACGGGTAAGAGTACGGTAAATAATGGTTTAATGATAACTGAACAAGAAATCACTGTCTTTGGCATAACAGCAGGAGCTAATACTTGAGTGCTTACCGTGTGCTATGCACTGATCTAACTGCTTTACAAGTATTGCTGTTGTTGTTAGGAGCTGTTGAGTCGCTTCCGACTCATAGCGACCCCAGGTACAACAGAACAAAACACTGCCCAGTCCTACATCATCATCACAATCGTTGCTATGCTTGAGCCCATCATTGTAGCCACTGTGTCAATCCACCACATTGAGGATCTTCCTCTCTTTCGCTGACCCTCTACTTTACAAGTATTAACTCATTTAATATGACTGTTTTCAAAATTTACCTAAAAATGTTGTATGCTCAGTTTTCCTTTGCTGTCTTCACCTCTGGGCTTTTGTATTAGTGGTTCCCTCTGCCTCGGAACCCTTCAGGTGCTAACTTCTACTTGGCCTTTAGATTCAGCTTGGATTATCTCTTACTGACAGACTTTCCCTCAATTCTCAGTCCATGCCTGACACATTTGGTGTCCCAGTTATACATTCCTACAACACCACCCACAATAACACAGCACGGAGTTAGGAGCCAGCCGTCTGGGTTCAAGGTCTGGATATGTTATTTACTAACTGTATGGCCCTGAATAAGTAACTTAATCTTTTTGTGCCTCAGTACCCTCATCGGTACAACAGGAATAATAATGATTCCCATCTCATAGGGTTGTTGTAAGAATTCAATGAATATATAGACAGTACTTAAAAGAGTGCCTGTCGTTGTTAGTCGCTGAGTCAATTCCGACTCATGGCAACCCCATGTGTGCACAGTAGAACTGCTCTACAGGGCTTTCACAGGCTGAGACCTTTAGGAAGGAGATCGCTAGGCCTACCTTCCAAGGTACCTATAGGTAGGTTTGAACTGCCAACCTTTCAGCTAACACTGAAACCATCTGCGTCACCCAGGGACTCAAAAAAGTGCCTGGAATATAGTAAATGTCCTAAATGTTAGATGATGTTATTATTAGTACTACCGTGGATTTATCTCATCATAGCACTCATCACATTTTCCAACTGTTTGTCTACCTCTTCCACTAGACTTTAATTAGCTTCACGAGGTTAGGAGAGAAGGTTGGTCTTATTCTTGGTTGTTATCAGCAGCATCAACCACTGTCCTGTTGGGGCATAAGTATTTATTGAAATAACTTATCTAGAATATTCACTTATGTGGAATACCTTACTTCTGATGATGTCAGGTAAATAATTATTTTAACAGGATATCATACTAAACTCATGGATATCTTAAGAAGGAAGTAATGATTTCATTTTCAGAAGTAACAAAAAATTGTATAGTTGCTTTCTTGACAGAACGCCCTTAATGAAGGTGAGGAGTTAAAGGTCAGAGAAAAAACAAATTAACATACCTGGCTCAGAGCTACAATGCATTTAGTATATTAAAGCAGCTGACATGACGACTTTTTGCGGGCCTTCCCAGGTACAGGAGTTTTTCTGTTAATTTGCCGCACTAGGTCATAAAAGATCTGCAAATATATATGTTTTTTTAATTTACAGGGAAAAAAACAAAACAAAACAAAGTAAAACAACAATAAAAACCCACAAAAATGAAAAAAAAGAAAAAAAAATGTAGGATTTCCATGGATATAAGTAAACCTAGAAAGCAAATATTCTGTTTAGTTAATGAATGACAGTAAAACCAGGTGTACTTATAATTGCTGAATTTTTTTTCATTAGTTTGTTTTTTGGGAGGGTCAAACTTTTTCTCCTTAAAATAAGTACTCAGTTGAAGCAGCCTCAGAGATCTTAATTAGAATATTTACAATCATACAAAAAGCCAATTCTTTACTTTTCTTCAAACCTTTCTATACAAAATGATTTTAAGCCCCCCTCAAGGCAAGAATCATGCACATGCAGGCCTTTCTGAATTTCAGTCTCCAATCTTATAAGATCCTTCATACTCCTGAAGACTTAATCTGTCTTCTACAACCTTATCATTTGTCTAGTCTTCTTTTCTTCATGGTAAATTCTACTGTACCAGCACTTTAATAAAGAGACGGAAATAGCTCATTAATATGCATATATTTAACATAAGATTTTTTTTGCCTATAAGATCATAGCACTTTGAGCACACATTAACTTGGGTCTACATTAATACATTCAAATTTAACACACAGACATTATTTCCCATTAATTATGAATGCTGAATTCAAAATACAGTTATCTTAAGTATAAGTGGCCATACCTCGTTAACATTTATTTTTGACTTTGCAGAAGATTCTAAGAATGCACAGTTGTTCCACTGTCGTGCTAGATTTTGACCTTGTTCCTTTCCTACAACTCTTTCATCTTCTAAGTCACACTTATTTCCAACTAGAATCATTGGAACCTAAAAATAAAATTTGTGAGGGTAAAAATAAATAAGTAAATAAAAATATGCCATACAAATTCAAATCCAAAGAATTCTAAGAGAGTCCATATTATGCCAAAGAAAAACAGCATTAATAATATACAAATTTTAGTTAAATATGGAAGCCTGAACAATGTCTGTTTGTAAATCTTAAGCACAATAATAAGTATTGATTTTCAAGCATATTAATTACATTGTCAATTGTCTCCACTGCCTTATCCTCTCATGGAGATGTCAAACGATAACTCCAAAAAAAAAAGGGGAAAAAAAAAAGGAAAATTCTCATCTATGTTAAATAAAATGCACATCATACAGGTCCTCACTGAGTCAGTGTATATACAAATAAGAACCTTTCACATGAGGTTTTTAGAAAACTATAACCTACTTATAAAAGAAGAAAGAAAAAATTACATAAAAATTGGACTTGTAGTTAATTATAATAAGCAAAAACACATAACCTTTTAAAAGGCAGTACAAAGAGGTGTTACTGTGAAAGCCAATATATTTCAACATTTAAAAATGTTTCTTTAAGGAGTGTGAATCAACTTCAAGTTTTCTGGTTTCCTCACATGCATTTATCACATAAGCATTCTCAATTTCACAACACAACAAGGAGAAATTTGGAAAGTACCTATAGTTTATATTAAAAAGCCAGAAAATTAAATCAACTTAAAAAACAAAATCATAATCACTTATTAATGATGTCATGTATTTGGATACACGTGATGTTTGTAATTTTAAAAGAACACTATAGGAAAAAGTAATACTTACTCTGCAAAACCACTGTTAAACATTTTGGCTTTCCAAAGTATTTTTGGGAAAAACGTTCAAAGTAAGAATTCTGCTTTTTTAGGAAGAGACAGTTTTATTTCTTGGATATAAAGGAATGTAGCAGTTCTACACTGCTAAGTTCTACACATACACGCACACAAACCCCTATCACTTAAAGAAAAATATAAACAGCAGCTGATGCCTTGCAGGAATATTCTTTTGTAGTCCTACAATGAATTTCACTTCTAAAAAATGCTTTTAGTATAATCATTCTCTTTAGCAGGTGGGGAGTGTGGTCCTTTGACCATGTAAATGATCAACTATAAAGAAAAAACATCTAATACTTTCTTACATAGTCTAGCAGAAGCAGACCTTATTGAATAAAATATTCTTTATAATTAAATCAAACCACAACATGTAAATGGTCCTACTTGAACAGTATACAGGAAATCAGACAACAGGAAGTAGTCTTTAGGAAAGTTAAAATGCTATTTACTTTTTTTCCCTCAAGTTGGAAAACAACATTATGAACTGCAGACAAATTTCTATGTTCTAGTCACGCAGCCAAGCCATTTTCTAGCCTGATCCTCACAGTTTCCACATATTCTCAACTTCACATATTGGCCCATCAGTTTTTTTTTTTAATACTCTTCCCTTCTATTTTTACACTTAGATAATTTTAACATATTTTTTCAGGGCCCAACTCAAAGATCCATCCTCTTCATAGAATTTTTTCTATTTACTCCAGCCCAAACTGATTTTTTATTGTTCTACAAATATTTGTTTTGCTAATTTTGACTCCTTAATTATAAGTTTCTTAAAGGGAGGGAACACGTCCATAAATTTTTTGCATTCCCAGTATCTGTGACATCCTAGGTATATTAGGCATTTAATGAGTACTTGTTATGGTTGCAAATGACTGAAAAAAACTACACCAGTTCCCCGAGATAGTAGAAAACATATTTACTAATTGAAAAATGAGGTTGTTATAAATAGGCAGGGTCCCCCAAGGTTCCTTTGTTTCAGAAGTCCAAAAAATGGCACGATTTACCCCTGGGTACCTCCCTGCTCTCACAATATTTGCTACAATTAAACTATAGTACAGTGGTTCTCAAAGTGTGGGGCAGGATCAGCAGCATTAGCACACTTGGAAACTTCTTAGAAATGTAAATTCTTGGGGCCCACCCCAGACCATCTCAGATTTACTGAATCAGAAACTCTGGAGGTGAGGCCCAGCAATCTGTGTTTGAATAAGCCCTATAGGTATTTTGATGCAAAATCAATTTTGAGAACAACTGCTATATATAATATGATAAAAAATTAAAATAATCTTTTCTACAGGGATTAAACTAATTACAATGCACTCTGAAGGGGCATCTAAATTAACCTTAGATTCTAATATAGTTTTTTGCTCCTTTTAAAAATTATTGTTATTATGCTCTTTCTACATCGTAGCTGCTTGAGATGTGTTCATATGTCTGATTCTTGTCTAAAAAAGCTCTTAATGCTACCAGAAATTGGCCAGAACATCATTCCCTCCATTAACATTTGCCTTCCACATTCTTCCTCTCTCCCCATCAAATGCATGATTTAAAAATAGAAGGGGGATAAAAATTTGTTTTGCACAGGATAAGGGGACAGCAATTTTTCTCTTTCCACATTATATATATTTGAAAACGTGTATGAGTGTTAAAAACGTGTTTTTAACTTTCAAGAAAAAAGCTTTAGAAAAACAAACAAAAGTACATAAACTAGTGAAAACAAGTTAAACTGGATACCATTACAATGAGAGTTTAAAAATAAAATGTATTTATTAGGAAGTCATCTTACATCATCAGTGTCTTTAACTCGAAGAATCTGTTCTCTCAGATCTTGCAAATCATTAAAAGTGGACTGTGCTGTGATGGAATAAACTAATGCAAAGCCTTGTCCATTTTTCATGTACAAATCCCTCATTGCTGTAAATTGTTCCTACAGTGGGAGGAAAAGTTGAAAAAGTTTTGACAGTTAATTTGACAATTTTCAAAGTAAAGTCTACAATTATAGTTCAATGAAGAATATTATAGTATTATGTACCATTTCTTAAAATTACAGTCCATGGAAAAATACAATTTGAGAAACTGGTTTTTTAAGAAATAGGTTTTTTATTTAAAAATAATACACCAAAGTAGATTTATGCATAATAAATATACTCAAGTAAGTTCGAAATATCTCCAAAAGTTACTTAAAGGTAGCCCTTATATATGGTAACAGCTTTTTTTAATACATCTTAATGTGTAAGGCATCCAAATTGTATCAAGTTATTCAGCTATTTCACAATGCTCTAGGTATATGGGGTCCATCAGCATGCTTACCTGTTATGTTGTCATTTCTTACCATTTTTATTTAAACTAGAGTGTGAGCCTTTGAGGTAAGAGCACAGTGCCTGGCACATATCAGGTACTCAAACGTTAGCTGAATAAATACTATATACCCAGAATAAATCTTCCCTTCACCTTCAGATTCCTATAAATCTAGCTGGCCTGTAAATGCTTCGGAGGAAAGATATCATTCAAAATAACTTCACATAGTCACTGAAGAATGAATGTATGCCCAAGTATTTTTCACTTTATTTGAAATATGAAAATATATTCTAACTTGTATTAAAAGTATTCATGAGCTTATGAAAATTTTCATTCTAATAAATGTTCTAATTAATCCTGCAATAACTGACCTACTGTAATTAGAAAGCACAACATAAAAAAAAAA